CCCCCCCCCCCCCCCCCCATGGCCCTCAGTCGTGGTCTCAGCTCTATTGATTTCCCTTGCAGCTCCAGAAGATGACGGCGCTGACGATAGCGGGTGAGTCCCAGGACAGGTGGAGCTACAGGGAGCTGGGACAGGCACGGCTGGGATGGGGACCCTTGGACACAGCTGCCCAGTGACCATCACCTCAGACCAGCCCCTCAGGCTCTGTGCCAGGAGCTGGTGGAGGGGCAGGCTGAGAGAGAGCTGGGCTTGGGAGCAGCCCCCTGCCCCGCTGCGCTAGGGGGACGAGAGCAGCTATTCCTGTAGGGAAAAGGCTGTGGCAGCCTCCAGCCACGAGTCCCTGGCCGTGCGGACAGCTCTCTCCCCGGTCAGGGGTTGGGGTAGGAGCCGGGGCTGGAGGGGCACAGCTGCCAGCACTGGGGGGTGGCTCTGACCGAGTGTCCTTGGCTGCGCAGACCCCAGCCAGGCCCCGGAGCCGCTGCCCCCGTACTCGTGGCCGAAGCAGGAAGTCCAGTTCCCCGATGCCCGCAGCAACTGTGTCTTCCCCCCGCTGGGGGCCCCGGAGGTCTTGGACCCTGCCGGCCCCTTCATCCCAGAGCTGCCCCCGCCCGAGCCCACCGGCGCCATCCCGTGCCCGGGGAGCCTGGAGAACTTGCCCCCCGGGAACGAGCCGCTGCAGCCCATGGAACAGTTCATCCCCGACCTGCTCATCAGCCCGCACATGCTGCCACGTAAGGACCCCCCACCCCTGCTTTTGCGCTGTGCTGCTGCCCCATGGGGGTCTCCTGCCTGCCGCTGGGCTCAGCCCACGAGCTCCCCGAGTGCCCGGCTGCCCCTGTACAGCACCTAGCACCGGAGGCCCCGATCCTTGCGTGCAATGGGTGGGTGTGGGGACCACCGGCCTAAGCGGGGGTCTTGGGTTCCCTGGTCTGACAGGCTCCTCTTACCCCCTGTCCTTGCAGTGACGGACCTGGAGATCAAGTTCCAGTACCGGGGCCGGCCGGTGTGGTCCCTGACCATCAGCAACCCGCACGGCTGCCGCCTCTTCTACAGCAACCTGGAGCCGACGCAGGAGCAGGTGGAGCTGTTCGGGCCAGTGACGCTGGAGCAGGTGCGTTTCCCCAACACCGACCACATCCCCAACGAGAAGCAGCGCTTCTACACCCACCAGCTGCTGGACGTCCTGGACCGGGGCCTCATCCTGGAGCTGCAGGGCCAGGACATCTACGCCATCCGGCTCTGCCAGTGCAAGGTCTTCTGGACGGGGCCCTGCGCCGCCGAGGGCACCGGCCCCAACCCCATCGAGCGCGAGAAGAAGACGAAGCTCTTCAGCCTGGAGAACTTCCTCAACGGTGAGCGGGACCTGCCCTCCGCTCCCACCCTTCTCCCCGTGGCACCTGGCTGCTCTCGGGTCAGGTGGGTGGGCTCACCCCGCCGGCATTGGCTCCCTGCCCCTCACATCCATGTCTCTGGGCCCCCCCAGGCCTCATCCTATTCCAGAAGGGGCAGACGCCCACGCCGCCCCCCTTCGAAATCTTCTTCTGCTTCGGCGAGGAGTGGCCCGACCAGAAGCCCAAGGAGAAGAAGCTCATCACTGTCCAGGTGAGGGGTGGGGGGTGCAGGCGGGCTCCCGCCCTAGTGCTGAGGCTGGTCCGAGCGGTCCTACCCCCCAGACCTCCATTGCCCACCGAGCTCCCACTGGCTGCACAATCGCCTCCCCAGCTGGCTTTACACTGTAGCTCGAAGCTGCACATGGAGAGGACCCCCATCCTCCCTGGGGGGCTGCATCTGCCTGCCCCAGCCTAGGCCCATGGGGTACTAGCAATAGCCCCGGCCCTGGGAACGGGGGCGTCGTGAGAGCTGGGGTCACATCCAGGGCTCTCCAGCCACGAGGCCACGGCGTCAGGCTATGGTGGGCAGCTCCGACCTGCTGCCTCAGCCCTGCAGCCTCCCATCAGGAGCAGAGGACTGGCTGGGGGAGTCTACGCTTCCGGGGGCATCCCCCAATGCTGAGGCCAGCAGAGCAGCTCATGCCTCCTCTCTGTCCTCCCCGCCCAGGTGGTGCCCGTGGCCGCGCGGCTCCTGCTGGAGATGTTTTCTGGGGAGCTGTCTTGGTCAGCAGACAGCATCCGCCTGCAGATCTCACACCCGGACCTCAAGGACAAGATGGTGGAGCAGTTCAAGGAGCTGCACCAGATCTGGCAGAATCAGCAGGGCCTGCAGGGGCCCCCAGCAGCCCACGCCGGGCCCAGCCTGGAGCCGGGCGCGGGCGTGTGGCCCATGCAGCAGTGATTGGGCAGGCACAGCCCAGGAGTGTCCTGCTGGGTGAGCCGGACAGCACGAGATGCTGCTTTGCTGGGCATGGGGCTGGCCAGCTCCAGACTGTGAAGGAGGCACCGGCTGGGGGTGCCGGGACTGGGTCCTGCCCCATCTCCAACCCCTGGGGAGCAGTCGGAGGTTGCATGGCCCCAGGTGCATCTCCGTGCCGAGCTTCGCAGTGGCGATTTTCCAAGGTAGGGCCTGGCCCAGAGCCCAAGGGAGCCACAGCCCATCCTCAGTCCGAGGTTCCTGCCAGGTGCAGCACGGAGCAGGACAGATGGGCGCAGTTTACCTCGAAAACACTGCACCCGGCTGCAGCCCAGCCCTGGTTCTCGGCTGGCTGGGCAGGCGCACGCGTCTGCGGCACCGGGCCAGGCTCCTGCTGGCAGGGAGGGGGACAGACTTTGGGGATGTGTGGGGCTCTCCAGCAGCTTGGCAGACACGGGGCCAGTCACATCCCCCAAAGGGCAGGCTACCCTTGCTGGGCTGGGTGCTGTGTTGGACACAGGAGTTGCCAATGCCATCTCCAGGGGCGGTGATAATAAAGCAACCCCTTGTGTACATGGATGTGTGCGCGCGGTTGTCACTACAGTTGGGCCCAGGTGAGAGCAGAATGGGCACTGCGTGTCCAAGTGCCAGCTTCTTCCTGCACTGTTATATGAACTGCGTGACAGGCCAGGCCCTGGCACCAAACCTATGCAGCTCTGGGAGCCTCATCCCCTTGTGCTCCTGCTGCCCCACTTCCCCCAGCCTGGCCTTTGACAGCTGGTCAAGTTTCTCCAGCAGTATGGGCCCCCTGGCAGGAAACCCATACCCTGCCCCACCGCCTTTGGGCGAGAACAGATGAGTTCAGAAGACGCTTTCCGAGAAAGGGTCGCCGGAAGCAGACGTGCATCAGCCCATGTCGGCATAGCCAGTTGAGGGCCCTTGGGGAGCCAAACCAGAGATGCTGACTCAGAGCAGTCATCAGAGCCTGGATCTTCCCCTTCTGCAGCAAGAAACCAGAGCAACAGAGCTCATGGAGAAGTTGCAGTTCATGCCCAAGCTGTAGCTCACCCGCCCCATCTGAGCACCCTCGCTGTTGGGTGCTCAGCTACAGGAACTCCCACTACAAGCGCCTCCAAGGGCTGCGGTGCTGGCTGCAGCCTGGGAAGACTGGAAGGTCAAGATGGTTCTTGCACAATTTAAAGGGCTTTAGCACCTTCCACGTTGACTCTCACCCATGCAAGCTGTCTTCTCTGGGCTTGCAAAAGTCCTCATTCAGGCAGAAGCAGTGTGCCCTGGATGCCAAGGTGGCAAATTGCATCCTGGGCTGCACTGGTAGGAGCATTGCCAGCAGATCCAGGGCAGTGATTATTCCCCTCTATTCAGCACTGGGGAGGCCACATCTGGAGTCCTGTGTCCAGCTGTGGGCCCCCCACCACCGAAAGGATGTGGACACATTGGAGAGAGTCCAGCAGAGGGCAATGAAAATGGTTCAGGGGCTGGGGCACATGATTTATGAGGAGAGGCTCAGGGAATTGGGTTTATTTAGGCTGGAGAAGCAAAGACTGAGAGGGAATTTAACAGCAGCTTTCAGCTCCCTGCAGGGGGGCTGCAAAGAGGATGGAGCTGGGCTGTTCTCAGTGGGGGCAGATGACAGGACAGGGAGCAATGGGCTCAAATTGCAGCAAGGGAGGTTTAGGCTGGATATTAGGAAATCTCTCATAAGGAGGGTAGTAAAGCACTGGGACGGGCTCCCCGGACAGGGGGGAGTCTCCATCCTTGGAGGTGTTAAAGACCCCACTAGACAAAGCCTTGGTCAGGATGATGTCGCTGGGGCTGGTCCTGCTGGGTCAGGGGGCTGCACTAGATGTGACCTCCTGAGGTTCTTTCAAACCTCATTTTCTATGAATCTAACCACCGGCTTGATACCTCCATCAGGCTGGTCATTGGAGGTCAAGGTGAGCATGAGTAAGGTTGAGAGCTGCCACTTATGTACCAATCCAGAGGGACTTCACTAAAAAGGACAGGACTTCAGCTCCACTTGGGAACAAAGCAGGGTTCAGACAGAGCTGGTATTTGGTAGTGAAACAACTGCCGCGTAGCCGAGCCCAGGGGCAAGCCCATTTCAGCGGCTCAAAACCTTTCACTCCAACTGAGTCCCGAATTTCCTTTCACATTGCCTCAACCTTTGTCCTGCCTCTCTTGCGTTTCACACACAGGATAAATCATCCTTGGGCTCAGGCTGCCCCAGGCTTGGTGTTCATCTCCCACCCAAGCAATTGCCTATGCAGTGGGGAAGAGTTTGAGTTTCTTCAGCTAGCAGGGAAGGCCCAAGTCCCATCCAAATCCACAGCAAACCGGCCCCAAGTGTTGAAATCACTTCCCACACAGGGATTCTCAGGTAACTAGAGGAAGGGAAAAGCACTCAAATTGCCAGCAGCCTCCAGCTTTTAGCCCCCAAGGCAATACCCTTCTAGAGCAGTGGGGCTGGAAGGGAGGTCACATCCAGTCCAACCCCCTGCCCGAGGCAGGATCAGCCCTGTCCAAATCATCCCAGGCAAACCCATTGCCCCTCTGAGCAACACAAGTCACCCCTGACACAGCACAAGAGCTCACACCCAAATCTGCCACAGGTAAAGCAGGAGAGCCACGGCAGCCAACATCCTCCTGCTGCAAAGGTGTGTGGCCTCTACTTGCTCCAGAGATCCCAAGCAGAGGCCATGCTCTGCAAGAGGAAGGTAAACCCTGCTTCAAATCCCTACCTATGACCATGGGGTAAAATCCCTTCTTGTCCCCAAATGCAGCATCAGTCTGACCCTGAACAGAGGGGCAAGACCCTCTAGCCGGGACTCTGGGTCGAGTTCAAGCAGGAGCATTGGCATAGCCCAGAAGCCTGGGAAATACCCTTTGCAAATCAGTCAGGGAGGTGGGAGGCCCAAGTGCTGCCAAGCAGAGTCTGCTGCTTGGATAGTATTCAGCTGTGGCCTGGCCACCAGGGATGGCCCACGGTCACCAGGGATCAAGACCTCAGCTGCAGCGGCAGGCGGCTCCATCAGCAGCGCGGAGATTTTGAGATCCCTGTGGGGTCTGCTACTCACTACTGCTCACGCCACCTCAGCTGGACAGAGCCGAGCACCGCAGGGAGATCTCAGCCAGGACCACGCTGCCTGCACGCAGTGGGCTGGAAAGCACTGACCTGTCAGTCATGCCCAAAGGCACCTGGCAGGGCAGTTCAGCAGCACCTTGACTTTGATCCTTTGTGCTTGCTTACTTATGAAGCCATTATGGAGCTCAGCCGTTCACGACGACCTCCGCAAGCATGAAGTGGGAAGCACTTGCCATCCAGTGAAGGAACCGCTGACTAGGGTCACACAGGCTTGCCCCGAGCCAAGCGGGCAGGTGGAAGCAGGAGACAGCCCCAGCTAATGCTCACAGAAGCTGATCCTTTCCTTTCTGCTGGCAGCCAGACATTCAGAGGCAAGGGGTCTACATTTAAGGGCAGACGGAGCCCTTCGGGACAAGGGAGGCAGGGCCATCCCCCTTATAGCAATCTGCAGTAAGGAAGTGATGCTTTCCTTGCCAACAGCCAGGGTTTTTATCATAACAATGTGAAATGATGGTCCCAACACCTTATTGCAGCCGTTCTCAGCCTTTCTAGGCTCAAGGCCTCCCCCTGGAAAACGCCAGCTTAGTTTTCACTCATTTTTTTTTCTGTAGTCCAAAAAAGTGACACAGCCAATTTTGTGTGGCCAATTCTGAAAGACCTCAGCAGGTCAGAATATGATTAATGCCCTGTGAAGTCCTACTGGAAATCTCTGGGTTTAATCATGTGGATCACGCTGGCACACGTAACAGGGCTGGTATTGTGTGGCGCCTCATAGCACTCTTGGACAGATCTAGGCACCCCAATATCTCAAGGGTGCTGAGGCAACCCAGTGAAGAATCACTGCCTCAATGGGACTCTGCATTTAAGAAAATCTTGGGCGCTTGTACACATGACAGGGGTTTAGTCTTCTATGCCAGGGGTATGTGTACCCCTGGGGGTACTTTGAAAGGCCCCAGGGGGTACGTGGCAGTGGCATGGAGAAGCCACCGGCACTTCTGGTTTTGCCACTGGCATTTCTGGTTTTGCTGCCGTGAGCAGGATCCCCCCTCCTGGTTGACTGGCTGCCGGGAGACTCCCTGTTTCTCGACCGGCTGCCGGGGGGACCCCGACCAAAAGAGGTTGAAAACCCCCGTTCTATGCCCCCTAAATTGAAACTGTGGGTTTTTAACTGAAACCCACCATTTCAAGTTAGTTTTATTTTTCTGTCATGTTAGGGCGAGGGGCCTGACCCTTTTTTGGGGGGGAAAGGGGGGGAGTGGGGAGCCTGCCTGCCTGCCTGCGGCCATGGGGCAAGCTGCCAGAGAGCTGAGCAGTCCCTGAGCTGTAGGGAGCCCCCCCAGTCCTTCCCTCCATGGTGGTGCCTTCCTTGGGGAAGAGTTGGACCTGGTCTGGGTGTTGCCTCTGAGCTGGGGCAGCACCCGGCCTGCGCGGCCCTGGGGGACACAGCCGCTGCAGAGGGATGGACAAGGGCCCCCACAGCTCAGGGGCCACTCGGCTCCCCGGCAGCTTGCCCTCTGGCCATGGGCAGGCTCCACCAGGGAAAAAAAAAAAAAAA